TTGATTGATTGATTGATTGATTGATTGATTGATTAGTTTGGCTAATGATGCCCGTGTGTTTGTGTGTCTTTGGCAGGAAGTGGCGGAGTACCATTTGGGTATTGTAAAGGGCTATACAAATAAACTTGATTGATTGATTGATTGATTGATTGATTGATTGATTGATTGATTGGTTGATTGATTGATTGATTGGTTTGGCTAATGATGCTCGTGTGTTTGTGTGTCTTTGGCAGGAAGTGGCGGAGTACCATTTGGGTATTGTAAAGGGCTATACAAATAAACTTGATTGATTGATTGATTGATTGATTGATTGATTGATTGATTGATTGATTGATTGGTTTGGCTAATGATGCCCGTGTGTTTGCGTGTCTTTGGCAGGAGGTGGCGGAGCCTCTGCAGGATCTGAAGGAGGGCATGGAGCAGCTGGAGAAGAACAAAACCCTCCGTTACATCCTCTCCACTCTGCTGTCAATTGGAAATTTCCTCAACGGCACCACTGTGAGTCATCACGGGTTGGCTCGATCAGAAAAGGTCACACACTGTTTTACTTTGAAATGAGGAAGTGCCTTCCTTTTCCCAGGCCAAAGGCTTTGAGCTGACGTATTTGGAGAAGGTTCCGGAGGTGAAGGACACCGTCCATAAGCAGTCCCTGCTGCACCACGCCTGCTCTGTGGTGGTGGAGAACTTCCCCCAGAGCACCGACCTCTACTCCGAGATAGGAGCCATAACACGCTCTGCAAAGGTATTACCACCTCATGTTCACTCAAAAAGAGTTATGACACAAATTGATATGAATCTGGAAGGGCCCGACCCACAGGCCCCATGGTCACGGAGGAGAAGACCTTAGCTTAGCTTTGGAAATGTGGTTGAACTTTTCCAAGAAATGAATCTAAAAACAGAATGAAACCAAGTTTAAAATGGGATTTTTCATTGTTCTATAAATTAGCATCCAAGAAATATTGTTAGAATTTCTTCAGGAATGAAAACCCCAATAAATGAAGCTTTATGTGAGATTTGAAAAATGCTCATCCAGCATCGATCTTTTTTTGGCCGCCGAGTTTTGACTAGATTAATAATTTATTTGAGAAAAGTGAGGAACGCGCGTGGCTAGAGTTCTCAGCCTAGATGTGCTTTGGTTGGTTTGTCTGGGTTCAGAGTCCTGAGTTTCTAACCTACGTCTGCTGGTGGAAACACGAGTGCCTAGCGCCTAGTGCTTGCTCATGGTGGGAACTGTTGGGTTTCTGTAGTTAACTTCAGAGTAGGTCTGACCTGCTCTGTTTGGAAAGATAACTGTTGTTGTGATGTGGAGCTATAGAAATAAAATTGAATTGAATTGAATATGACAATAAGTTCTCTAGAGGAAAACCCCCAGTCAGAGTCCAAGAGAAGAAAAGGAGGCACAGAAAGAGGAGTAGAGGGTCCAGAGGTCTGGGAGGAGTTAGGATAGAAGATAGGCCCGGTAGGTGGTTCCTCCATCTGAAAGCTGATTTTTGGGGCTTTTAAAACTGTTTTGTGACTTTTTAAGCTGTTTTTTGGAGCTTTTATGTTTCTGTTTCTGCATTTAGAGGCTTTTATCCAAAGTGACTCACAAAGTAGACACAATTTTACAGCTATCATCAATAGATGGCCGCCCACCCTGAGCCATGGTTGTGCTCCAGGTTTCTGCCTGTTAAAGGAAGTTTTTGCTTGCCTGTGTCGCCTAGTGCTGCTCATGGTGGGAATTGTTGGGTTTCTGTAATTAACTTCAGAGTAGGTCTGACCTGCTCTGTTTGGAAAGATAACTGTTGTTGTGATGTGGAGCTATATAGATAAAATAAAATTGAATTTAATTAAATTGTCCCCAGGTGGACTTCGACCAGCTGCAGGAGTCCCTGGTGCA